TACATTCAATACACAGATCTTTTACGTCTGAATCTAAGAGCACAGATATAACAGGTCTCTACAGAGCAACTCTCACTTACTGCTCTTAAGATCTAGGGAAGATAGGCTTGAAGTCTCATGTCCTAGGGAAGTCCATAGGTCCTCCCCACAGTTCTGTCAAATCCCTAGGGCTCACATTTTTCTTCTGTTGAATTTTTGTTCTCTGCCCTGAGGTTCTACCTATTTCCTTTTCTCTGCAAAGTATCATCGAGGGGACAGATAAACCCTTTCTCCTTCAATTCCCTCCTGAAAACATTAGCTATCTCTTTGTTGAACAGACTTTTGCTAGAACATCAGTGTAACAGAGGGAAGTTACATTGCATAAAAAGGCCATTTGTTCTTCTAGAACTGAGTTTTGATCTCCCTCCTTCTTGCAAGTTCTTCAGGCCTGCCTGCCAGCTGAGGCTCTGGTTCCTGCAGGTGGTACACAGTCCTCTCTCTCTCCCTGTCTCCCTATTTTCCTTTCATACCCATCTCTAATGTCCACTCCTAAATTCCTAATCGTTACTTTTATAGAGCTGTTCAACCATTTTCCTTATCCCCTTCTCAAAAAAGTACTACTTTAATGTCAACTAGTAAGCTTTTCCTACTGAAAGTTTTGGACCCTTTCTTCATAATAATACAAACACGTGCACAATTTTGAATGTTTTTAAGGGATTTAGAATGTCCCGAAGCCCATCCATGGATCTCCTAGGTCTGTGGATCCTTGGTTAAAAAATCCCTGACGTTAAAATCCCTGAGGCAGACTGCTGAGATGGAGCCTGCCCTTCCAGAGAAAACAGAGCCTCCCCTGCCCACTTCTCAGGCCTCATGACTCCCTCCCTTCCCCAGACCACCCAACGTACTTCCTTAATGATGCTCATCCATGAGTTGGAAAATCAAAAACACATTGACATGGTTGGCTGCTGGCACATTATCAGACGTATTCCCCAGTCCTGATGTGTTTACCAGAGATCAGACATCTTGAGAAAATAGTAGCTGCCTTTTCTTGACCATCACATTTGGGCCATGCTAGTGCCTCATGAGGTCCATACTATTATCCTCATTGCAACAGATGAGGAAACCAAGGCTCCCCATAATTTAGTATCAGACATGGCCAGCTAGGATTTGACCCCAAGTCAGTGACTTGAATATCAGGGCCTTAAACCACTGTGCTCACTGTCCCCACACAGGTATGCCTGTCTTGGTCTTTCTCAGTAGAGTACACATGTGAGACATTTGATGGCATAGCCAAATGAATATACCCTTCCATTTTCTGAGCTCACTCAGAGCTTTTGGTCTGTTTTATACATTGATGTGTCTCCAGTACCTAAAGCAATGCCAGACACATAATTATTTGAATGAATGAATGAACTTACTCTGCCATGTGTCCTGTCCCACAAGGCTTCGCTCAAATACCACCTCCTTCAGGAAGCTGCCCATAACTCCTTCTCTGAATTCAAAACCTCCTCCTAAGAGCTCCCCACACATGCAGGTGCCTCTGTGTACTTTTAGTTCATGTTTCCACTATGCGTCTGCTTCATTCCGAGCTGCTTGAAAGTGGGAACTGTCTCTAACTTCTCTCTGTATGTCTTCAAGACATAAAGGCATTCAATAAATATTAATTGACTTGGATACACAGTTGTTATGCTGCAGAGAAATTAGGACTGAGTGTTCATTAGGATTAAATGAGTGTACATTAGGATTAAATGAGTGTACATTAGGATTAAATGAGTGTACATTAGGGTTAAATGAGTGTACATTAGGGTTAAATGAGTGTACATTAGGATTAAATGAGTGTACATTAGGGTTACATTGGTAGAGCTGGACCAGCAGCATCGGCATCACCTGGGAACTTGTGAAAAATGCATATTCTTGGGCTGCACTGAAACCTACTGAATCAAAAACTTTGGAGATAGGGCCCAGTAATCTGTATGATAGCAAAGCTTTCTGGTTGCATTTACCGTGGTCCAGCTCCTTCAAGTGTTAGCTTTCACTGGAATCTGTTCATCTAAAGAAATCTTTAAAATTAACAAACAGAAAATACTTACAATGTATCAGTAACAATGTTGTTGTGTTGTTATGTGCCGGTGGAGTCGGACCCGACTCATAGCGACCCCTCCTTGGGTTTC